GGATTTTGGTTCATTACACAAATATGTTTATTTCTTGTTTTGCAGTTTTGATTTTTCAAGAAGTACTTGCTTTGAGAGCAAAATAAAATGAGCAAATACAATGAGAAGAAGAAAAGGAGCAGAAATTCTTGCTGTGAAAGGGAGGGTTTGAGGAGGGGAGCTTGGACTGCTGAAGAAGACAAGATTCTTGTTGATTTCATCACAAAAAATGGGCATGGGACTTGGAGAAATCTTCCTAAACTTGCAGGTTTTTGTTTATTTTATTTTTTAATTAAAAAAAAGTTAATTTTTATTCTATTCAGCCTTGTTATTATCTAACTAATGTTCCACTAAATGCTTTGTGTGTTCTTATATCCTTTGCATTTAGTTTTTATGACATCTTTAGGGTACTTAAATGTGGTTCTTGATGGTTGTAGTAAATTAATAATGAAAAAAAAATGATACATATGTTGAGATTAAATGCTAAAATAAATACACATTAACTTTGATGCTAATGCTGTGTGTTTTCTTGTTTATTAGTAGTATAATCAAGTGCCAGTAAGGATTGATTGGGCAAACCTTATTTTGGTGAGGTTTAAGTTTTAATTTGATCACCTTACTTATATTCTACTGTCAGTTAATCCTCTCTGCTGATTTTTCTTTGTTGTTTGGGGCATTTCATTTATGTGTTTAGCGGTGCATAAATTCCGGCACACACGTCATAATGTTGAAGGTCGGTGGAGAAATGGCTTCGGATGAAAGTTTAAAANAAGATTAGTAATTTCGCTAAGTGCCAGACTAGGCGTTAGGCGTTAGGTGGGCTCGGCTGGCGCCTAGCGCTTTATTATTCTGAATTTTTTTCATGTCGCTTGTTTTGTTTAGAAGAAAAAATAAAAAGGTATGAACAATTCAAATGCGTTGAATTCGAATATACTTGCTGGAAAAACGGATAAATGAATAGGAAAATGTTGAGATTAAAAATGTGCAAATGCAGAGTAACTTAAAACACAGCTTTGGTTTTGTATCTGCTTTTGTCAAAACTGAGTTCACTTTGCTTGAGTGGCATCAAAACAAACCAACTATCTGAATTCTAATAATCATTCAAAAAGAAAGTGAAAAAGAAAGTTCTTATCCCGAAAGAAGGATTCGTCGATTAAATTACAATTATTACTTGGCATTTACTGTTGCTGGTACCGTATTTTGTTCTTTTCCGATGCTATTGTTTATCACGCCTCATGTCGTGAAGTGCATGTATGCATATATATTATATATCTATATATACACACATTTACTCGGCATGGCGAAAGTCATTAATTTCGAGCTAGCATCATCATCACCATACTAAGTGTAAGGTATTGTGAATTTGTGATGCTAGTGAAAAGATCTGTTTCATGTTGTAGATTTATAGAATGAAAAACATTACACATTTATAAGTCTATAATGCATATCGCGATAAGCTATAGTATCATCAACTTCTTCATAATCGACATCGACGAATATTAATTAATATATTCAAAAAGTACAATTCTCAGCTTCTACATACAAAAAATGCTCATTTTTCAGACTATAAGCTATAACAAAATTGAGTATAATCATAGCTAGGATGTTGAGCTACTCTTTCGAAGCCATTTTTCTCTCATGCATTATATGTTCTCCAAGTTAATATATGTTATGTCATGAAACCTGAAAGGCTT